ATTGTTACATAATATTCCACATAAAATCATTTATCCAGCAATTCTTCTAATGATGGACATGCAGATTATTTTTGTTTTCTGCAAACAATGCAGCAATAAACATCCCAACACATATAATCTCCTTCTGTGCTGATTTGTTGTTGTTGTTAGAGGCAAGGTCTCATTATGTTGCCCAGGCTGGTCTTGAATTCCTGGGCTCAAGGGTCCTCCCACCTCAGCCTCCTGAGTAGCTGGGACCACAGGCATGTGCCACCATGTCTAGCTAAAAGTTGTTTAAATTGCTTGTAGAGATGGGGTCTCCCTATGTTGCCCACGCTGGTATTGACCTCCTGGGTTCAAGCATCTTCTTGCCTCAGGCTCCTAAAGTGCTGGGATTACAGGTGTGAGGCACTGCATCTGGCCTTAATCTCATTTTTTCCATGAACTTTTTGAAGTCTGCTTGCATGTGGTCCAAGAAGGGAATGTAAAAAGAGCCAAAAGTATTTTGAGACACAGACATGGAATAGTTTCTCCTTCAGACCAAAAAAAAAAAAAAATTTAGGCCTCACAGGAAAGGTAATAAGCAAAATCAAACTAAGCAAATTATATAGTGTGTTACAAGTTGAAAGTACTATGGAAAAAAATAATGAGGGGAAAGGAGATGGAAAGCAGGGCAGTCAGGTAGAAGCAATTTTTAAAAGATGGTCAGGATAGGTCTCAGTAGGAGGTTGAGGTTTCAGCAAAGACTTGAGGGAAGTCAAGTAGTCAGCCATGTGGATATCCTAAAAGAAAGCGTTCCAGAGGGAGAAAATACAAAGGTCTTGAGGTAAGGGACATGCATTGTGTATACCAGGAATAGCAAAGAGGTCAGTGAAACTGGGGCCTCACTGGCTTAAGGACAGAAAAATGGGAGTTTATATATTAATTGCCTTAGCCAATCATGCTATTTTTCTTCCTCTTCACTCCAGTTGCTATGCTGAGTCTTGTGGACATTCATGCAACATGCCCCCTCCTCTTCACCTCCATACAACACCCAGGGTAACTCTTTTGATTTTCCACATCAGTGTCAACTGTGGGATTTTATGACTTCCAAAATATGCTGGAACTATACTCAGTTTATTTTTGTAGATCATCATCAAGGTCCTGAGGCCAAAAATCTAATTATTATTATTATTATTGTTTTTTTTAGACGGAGTTTCACTCTTATTACCCAGGCTGGAGTGAAATGGTGCAATCTCGGCTCACTGCAACCTCCACCTCCCAGATTCAAGCAATTCTCCTGCCTCAGCCTTCTGAGTAGCTGTGATTACAGGTGCCCACCACCGCACCCGGCAAATTTTTATATTTTTAGTAAAGACACGGTTTCACCATGTTGGCCAGTCTGGTCTCAAACTTCTGACCTCAGGTGATCCACCCGCCTTGGGCTCCCAAAGCGCTAGGATTACAGGTGTGAGCCACCGTGCCCAGCCCAAAAATCTAATTATATCTTAACACAACTGACTAGGACCAGAGCGCTATTCAAAGGAAGGATTGGGACAATTACTTTTGCAGTTTATAGCAAAAGTGCCAATTTTTCCTTTCCCTATCCAACCAATCCTCTTCCCTTACTTCTACAAAACCTACTTTTAGGCCAGGCATGGTGGCTCACGCCTGTAATCCCAGCACTTTGGGAGGCCGAGGCGGGTGGATCATTTGAGGTCAGGAGTTCAAGATGAGCCTGGCCAACATGGTGAAACCCCATCTCTACTAAAAATACAAAAAAAAAAAAAAAAATTAGCCAGGTGTGGTGGCAGACGTCTGTAATCCCAGCTACTCAGGAGGCTGAGGTAGGAAAATCACTTGAACCCAGGAGGTGGAGGTTGCAATGAGCTGAGGTCAGGCCTCTGAACTGCAGCCTGAGTGATCAAGTGACTCTGTCTCGAAAAAAATTAAAAAATAAAAAATAAAAACCTACTTCTAAACTAACCATGACTAGATAGTCACTGTTGATCAATTCTACTAACTAGGTATAACCAAAGTTACTTATACTGAGAAGTGAATAATTTTAGAAGTTTAAATGTTTTATGAAGAAATTTTAAAACTCTTAATAGCTCCATATAGACTACAGAACAGAAAACTCTTAGTTTGACTTCAAGATTCTCCCCTACCTGGGCTTAAAACTGTTTTACTATCTCCCGTTTTGAGAACTCCCTCCAACCAAGCCAGTCATTCTCCCAAAGCATCATGTTCATTCCCACATCTGCTCCTTTTCCACTTGTTCTCTAAAATGTTCTTTCTTCCAAGGCTTAACTCTATTTCCACCAATTACATAAAGCCTTGTTTCACCACCTCTTTGGGGTATCCATTTTCTGGCCAGAAACCTCTGTGGCCACAGTGCCTTTACCCGAGTTCTTGTCCTGCATCCAGGAAGAATGAGGTATGTGGACAATGAAGGGTGAAAAAGACAAAGATGAGCTTTAATGAGCGTTACAGCGGCTCAGAGGAGACCTGCAGTGGATAGTTCCTCTCTGTAGGCAGGTTGTCCATCGAGTATTCAGTTCTCAGTAGAGAGGAGGCCCTGGAGAGGGTGGCTCCTCTCTGCAACTGATCGTCCTGATGTCTGCAGCTCTCAGAAGAGAAGAGGCCCTGGAGAGGGTGGCTCTTCTCTGCCCACAGGTTGTCTCTGCAGCTCTCAGCAGGCAGGGTAGGTCCTTTCTGCAACTGGTTGTTCCGTCATCTCCAACTATCATCGGAGAGGGTAGCTCCTCTCTTAGGCTGGTTGACCCATAGGTCTCTGCCCTCTTGGTCCTCTGGCAGTCCTCTGCCCTGCTCTGGGTGAGCCCAGGGCTTTTATGGACCTCAGAGAGAAGTACATGCCGATTGGTCCATGGGCAGCCATGGCAGGCCAAGAAGATGCACTACGAGTCCCTACTCCAGTCTGCAGGACTGGCAGCCTGGACCCCTGTCTTCAGGCCCTCCCTGACCTGAAGGTGGGGGTCTTACTGGGGACTCACCCTCTTCTACCCAGGAATCAATCTGCCTCCCGCTGCCATTCTTGGCCCCAAGCCTGCTCTGACATTGGAGCAGGGCATGAGAGTGGAGAGAGGCCAGGCGGTGGGAGCAGACACTCCTGAGCTTGCAGGGATTGCGGTAGGGTGTCTAGCTGGTCCCCCAAGGGTGCAGGCTGCAGAGATGCCCAGGTCCTACACCTGGGAGGGCAGCCACAATGGCACCAGGGGCTCCTGAGTCAACTCAGAAGGGGCAGGGTTCCCACAGGCTTCATGGAGTGTGCAGCCCTACTCATACCTCCCTGCTGCAGCTGGCTGCCATCAATAGGGCAAACTCAAATTTTTCTGAACTTCCCCAAACACACACACACACACACGACTCTTTCAAAATTTATATATAATCAAACTGGTTGTCCATGATTGGATCCTGTTATCACTGATGACTATTTATACACATAAATTTTGGATACATACAATGGTTAATTATAGCAGTAAGTCCCTTACAATGCATTGTATATGTTCTCTTACCCTTACATGCATTTGTTCATCAAATCTTGTGAATTCTACCCTTTAAAAGTTTGTCAATTCCATCCACACTTCAGCCTTATTATGTCCTACTGTACGACCTTAACCTCTTCCAACTAGACTACTGCCATACCCCATTAATTGGCTTCAGTCCAATCTTCTCACTTTCAATCCATTCCCTTCATTCCTGAGTAATGTTTTTGTTTTGAGACAGAGTCTTGCTCTGTTGACCAGACTGGAGTGCAGTGACAGCAATTAGGGCTGACTGCAGCCTCGACCTCTCAGGTCCAAGTGATCCTGCTGCCTCAGCCTTCCAAGTACCTGGGACCACAGGCACACACTAACACACATGGCTAATTTTTCTACTTATCGTAGAGACGAGGTTTCATTACATTGCCCAGGCTGACCTGAGTGCTGTGTCTACACACAAATCTAACCTTATTCTCCTGGTTAAAACTTCTGGTGACTCCAAACTCTTTAGCGTGGTGAGACCTTTTCAAATCCGCCCCATGGAAGCTCAGTAATAATCAACCAAAACAAAAAAGAGTGGCAGCAGCTGCTGCCCCAGTTCGCCTTTACACAGACTGATCTCAACCAGTTCCCCAATATGCCTGTGCATAATTTTCCCATTGTTAGAAATGCCCTGTTTCTCTTTGCCTCATGCACACCCCGTCTTATTTCAAGGTCCAGCTCAAAAGTCACCTCCTGTCTACAACTTCCTCTGATGCTCCTGAGCAGGGCTGGCTGAATCCCTGCCTCTTTACAATAAGTAAATACAGTCTTTTTAAAATTTCTTTTCTTTTTTTGCTGAGACCTTGTCTCGCTCTGTCACCTAGGCTGAAGTGCAATGGTGCAATCTCGGCTCACCCGAACCTCCGCCCCTTGGGTTCATGCAATTCTCCTGCCTCAGCCTCCTGAGTAGCTGGGATTACAGGCACGTGCCACCACACTCGCCTGATTTTTGTATTTTTAGTACAGACGGTGTTTCACCATGTTGACCAGGCTGGTCTCGAACTCCTGACCTCAGGCAATCCACCTGCCTCGGCCTCCCAAAGTGCTGGGATTACAGGCGTGAGTCAACGCGTCCAGCCAGAAATAATATTTTACAGCAATTACACTGTAATTGATGATTATTCCTATGCCGCCTCCTCCCCCAACAAGGTGCTTGCCTTCAACACAGAACTGTCTTGTTCCTGTCTATTCCGTAGCCTCGCAGGCAACGCCAGCATCTGGCACAAGCCAAGGACCGAGTCTACCTGCGGAACATAATTATTAGAATTGCGTCTGGGGTTCCTGGAGGGTGGGCCTTGGCTGGGCGGATCCCAGGAGCCTGGCGTCTCCCAGGGGAGGTGCTCACCTCAGGGCGGGTCTAAGACGGCCCTGCCTGCCACACTAACCGCCAAGCCTGGCCAAGAAGCTCAGGGAAGCCGCGTAGCCACTGCCCGCCTGGGTCAGGGCGGTGACGGAACCTGACTGATAATAACAGCTGAACTTGACTGACAGACTGACCTAGGGTTGGAGCGGGTCCCAACCAACTGCCTGACGGCCCAAAGTTAGTAAGAAGGGATGGCAGGCCTTGTCACCGTCGAAGGAGAGGAAGGGCAGCAAAGGAATTGCTGTAGCGTTCCTACGCGCGCTTCGCGCCTCTTCTCACGCGGAGCAGGAAAGGAAGTGGGCGAACCCGCCGGGAGACTCGCCGAGTGCGCGCGCGCAGCAGCCCATTTTCCCGCCCCCAACGTGGCCCGCCCTTTTACCCAGGCCCTACGCGAGCTTCGCCGAGTACGCGTGCGCGACAGCTTTCTCCCCACCCCCCCCCCCCCCCCCCCCTCACGTGGCCCCACCCTCTCACCCTAGACAGACGGGAGCCTCCTGGGGTGTCCACGTGAGCGCGCGTGAGCCCGCCCCCCCCAGTCACGTGATCGCTGACTCCCGGCGTTCTCCACTACGGCTTACCTACCTCCCTTGCCCGGAACCCGGCGATATGGCTGCCGCTGTGTCCCGCGCCGCGTCTCTCTCCCAGCTGCTTCCCCTTCTCCTGGGCTTCCTGCTCCTCTCCGTTCCGCATGGCGGCAGCGGCCTGCACACTAAGGGCGCCCTTCCCCTGGATACGGTCACTTTCTACAAGGTAACAGGGGCGTGGGACGTCGCGCGCAGGTGCTGTCGGGCCGCCTGGAAGAGCGCGCGCTCGTGGATGGACGCTGGACACCGGGAGCTGACGGGAGGTGGTCTGTAGCAATGGTCCCAGGGCTTCCCGGAGTCCTACAGGCCTAGTGGACTCTGAGCCGGGGGAATGTTATGACCATCGGGCATGCACGCTTCAGGGCCCCGGCGCACCCGTGCTTTTGCAGCATTTATACTTGCATCCTCCCTTGCAAAGATGCAGCCGAGGGAACTGTGTTCCCCTTCCCTTCACCTAGGGGGAGAGGGTGGTGCCTGAAGAGATCCAACCGTCGAATCCTAAGTGCGAGAACCGGAGAGTGGTGCGAGGCCGACGCCACTGGGCTCCTGGCTGTGGTAGCGGGGAGGGATTGGCGGGGAGAAATGCAGGCGCATTAGCCTGCATGTTCACGCCCCTCTTCCCCAGGCATGGATTGCAGCCTGCTTTGCATATGCAAACAATGATCAGATATCATACATCTTGAATAGTGCAAGCTTGAAGAATAAGCTTCAGTTCAGCCACCCTGAAAAGCAGGGGCCCCCAACCACCAGGCCCGTCGGTGGCCTGTTAGAAACCGGGCCGCACAGCAGGAGGTGAGCGGCGGGTGACCGAGCATTACATCCTGAGCTCCACCTCCTGTCACATCAGCTGCGGCATTAGATTCTCATAGGAGCACGACCTTTATTGTGAACTGCGCATGTGAGGGATCCAGGTTGTGTGCTGCTTATGAGAATCTAATGCCTGATGATCTGAGGTGAAACAGGTTCATGTAGAAACCACCCAACCCCCCACCCCTGTGGAAAAATTGTCTTCCATGAAACCAGTCCTTGGTGCCAAAAAGGTTGGGGATAGCTGTTGTAGAAAACATCTTGGGTTTGGCAACAAAATGAATAAAATTGGATCAAGGCATGGAAGAATTTGCCACTACCTCTGCCCCTCCCCCTTCCATTTTTGCAGAATTAGGGATCCTGGCCTGGGTAAATGGACGGTTGGAAATGGTGGCAGAATGCAATACCGCAGTCCCAGTCCCCTCCTCTTGCACCTGTCTTCACCCACGAGCAGCTTTTAACTTCCTCTAGGAGATGGGCAAGCTTAGTGTTGCGAGAGAGCCAGTCATTTCATTTTCGAGTTTTGTACTCATTGTGGGGAAGTGAAACCAAGAAGTAGTTTTCTCCAGTGGTTGAAGTCTTCCCTGTTTTCAAGCATTCCCTGTCATGGACTTGGCACTTGTAGCTCATTCAAGGCAAAGTTTCAAGAATTTAAAAGTGTAGGCCGGGCATAGTGGCTCATGCCTGTAATCCCAGCACTTTGGGATGCTGAGGTGGGTGGATCTCCTGAGGTCAGGCGAGACCAGCCTGACTAACAAGGTGAAACCCTGTCCCTACTAAAAATATAAAAATTAGCTGGGCGTCGTGGCAGGCACCTATAGTCCCAGCTCCTTGGGAGGCTGAGACAGGACAATTGCTTCAACCCGGGAGGCAGAGGTTGCAGTAAGCCAAGATTGCACCACTGCACTCCAGCCTGGGCGACAGAGCGAGACTCCATCTCAAAAAAAAAAAAAAAAAAAAAGTGTGGGCCGGGTGTGGTGGCTCATGCCTGTAATCCTGGCACTTTGGGAGGTGGAGGTGGGTGGATCACCTGAGGTCAGGAGGTGGAGACCAGCCTGGTCAACATGGTGAAACCCTGTCTCTACTAAAAATACAAAGATTAGCTGGGCGTGGTGGTGGGCGCCTGTAATCCCAGCTACTGGGGAGGCTGAGGCAGGAGAATTGCTTGAACCCGGGAGGCGGAGGTTGCAGTAACCTGTGATCATGCCATTGCACTGCAACAAGAGCAAAACTCTGTCTCAAAAAAAAAAAAAAGGTGTAGGTATGGCTGGTTGGTTGTCAGGCACACTCAGACACACCCTACAGCACCCTATGCTTTGGGGGCCTTTATTGGCAAAGTGACACCCCTACCCTACCCTGCTCCATGGGAGTGAGATAATATCACAGAACAAGTGTAACCCAAAGGGAAACTTTGCACCATAAAGCTAACAGTGTTTTCTACTATTATCACCCTAATCTAGGTCAACATTACAATAGCCTCTTCTCTGGTCTCCCTGCTTCCACTCTTGAGTCTCCACACAGTAGCCTAAGTCCTACATGACCTGATTCCTGGCTTCCCATTCATCTCCCAACCATTCTCCTCCTGTCTTTTGAATATTCCTTGCTCTTTACTGCCTTAGGATGTGTTGCACTAGTTGTTCCTTGTGACTGGAATATTCTCTGCCCAAACTTTGAAAGGCTAGTTGGTTACTTCTCATCATTCAGACTTAGGTTAAGTGTTTCCTTCTTAGAATTCTTCCTTGATTTATCTTCCCCCAGTCCAAAGTGCCAGTCACGTTAATCTGTTTTATTTCTCCATACAGCACTCATCACTGATTTTTTAAAAATCCATTTTGCTATCTTTCTCTCTCCCTGGAATATTATGTGCTCATGAAGAAGCTCCTTGTCTGTTTTGTTCCTGATCATCTGCACTGCGTAGCAGATTACCTGTCTCATAGAAGGTGCACAATAACTAATTTGTTGCATGAATGAACAAAACGTTTTCTTCAGTCTCTTTTCAGATCTTCTCTTCATCACCATTGAACCAAAGGGAAATGTACTAGTGTTGTGTCTGGCAGCCTTGTTCCACGCTTTGCCTTTTGGTGATTTCCAGTATCTTTTTTTGTTGTTGTTGTTGTTTCTTTCCCTTCACCATCACTAGAATGTTAGCTTCATGATCTAAGAGATCCCATTTTGTTCCCTGCTGTGTTCACTTAGTATGGGGCCTGGCACATGATAGATCCTTAGTAACTTTTTATTCAGTGAACGAATGAATGAATAATGAACTTATCTATACTTTAAAGAAGTGAGTTGCCTAATTATAGGTAATGGTAGAGCTGATTCCTACCAGCCCATTGGACACCAAGGGCTGGTAGGAAGTAGATGAGGAAAATAGATTTCTAAAGCTATCATTAAGAGATAACAGGCCGGGCGCGGTGGCTCAAGCCTGTAATCCCAGCACTTTGGGAGGCCGAGACGGGCGGATCACGAGGTCAGGAGATCGAGACCATCCTGGCTAACACGGTGAAACCCCGTCTCTACTAAAAAATACAAAAAACTAGCGGGGCGAGGTGGCGGGCACCTGTAGTCCCAGCTACTCGGGAGGCTGAGGCAGGAGGATGGCGTAAACCCGGGAGGCGGAGCTTGCAGTGAGCTGAGATCCGGCCACTGCACTCCAGCCTGTGCGACAGAGCGTGACTCCGTCTCAAAAAAAAAAAAAGAGAGAGATAACAGACCACTTCGGGAGGCCAAGGCGAGTGGATCACGAGGTCAGGAGATCGAGACCATCCTAGTTAACACGGTGAAACCCTGTCTCTACTAAAAATACAAAAAAATTAGCTGGGCGTGGTGGCAGGCGCCTCTAGTCCCAGCTACTTGGGAGGCTGAGGCAGGAGAATGGCATGAATACGGGAGGCGGAGCTTGCAGGGAGCCGAGATGGTGCCACTGCACTTCAACCTGGGTGACAGAGTGAGACTCTGCCTCAAAAAAATAAATAAATAAATACATAACAGACTAAGATAACAAGAGAAAATTCTTTATGCGAATGTTTGCCATTCAAAACCATTCTGCCTTACCCTTGTAACTAAGAATGGTGGAAGTAAAAGGTGGAGATCTCTGAATTATATTTTAATGTTAGACCACCGTATAATTATTAATATTATTCCATAATACAAATGCAGGCCCTTGAAAGTAGGTATCCCGTGTTGTGCTTTTTAAACAAGTGCTTCTCCCTTTCCCCAACATGTAGCATCTGCTACAAAGCCTGTCAGAGTATTGTTCATTCATCAGATATTTTCAGAACATCTGCCACGTTCTAGGCACTGTTGGGCACTAGGGATACAGCAGAAAACAGGTCAGACAAGGTCCTTATTCTCATAAATGTATATTCTAGTGGAGAGGATGGAAAACAAGCAAATAAGGATTTCAGAGAGTGAGTAATGCACTGAAGAAAATACAGCAGGGTAATGATACCAGGGTATGATGAAAATGCAGCCATATTAGACAGTCTGATTGGAGGAGTCCCCAGTAGCAGGGGACATTTGAACTGAGCCTTGAATGACAAAGAGATAACCATGAAAAGAACTGGGGAAAGGACATTCCAGCCAGCAGAGAGCAAATGAAAAAGCTCTGAGTGGGAGTAAGTTTCATGTGCTGAACTGAAATAAGGCCAGCTGGGCCAGAGGGATGTGAACTCATTTGTATTTTAAGTCTTTCCTGCTTTTAGGCCTCCAGAGCTCAGGCTTTTTGGCATTTAAAGATGACCTGTTCTGGTGTCTTTTCCTCCCTCCTTTGTGTCCCTAAACAGTGTTAAAGATTTTTAAAAACCAAGAGGACATCAGTACACGGTAAAGGACAAAGACTAACAAGAACATTGTATCTTTTTTTTTTTTTTT